AGTTAAACATCTGTTTACATTGGCTGGATTGTGTCCATTTGAGAAGATATTTATATTCCCAAATTGGGAAAATATATTTCCTCGATTTCAAGATTGCATCCCCTCCTATCCCATCTTTCTTTTTAGAAAGTAAAAGTCCCCGAAAAAAATAATTGGATATGTCTGCGGTGGGTTCCACTAACATTTCATTCATTCGTGCTTGGAAAAAACGCTTTTTGGCCACTTGCCCGCCCAGCTAAACAGAGCTACTTAAGAGCTAAAGTGCCGCTTAAAAATGAAATCCAAGCGACTTCTGATGTGAAGGTCACGCGTCGGCGGCTGTAAACAGCGCCTTTTCTCCCTGCCACCACAGGGGGGCGCCCTAGCACAAAGGTTTCCCGGTCCCGCCAGAGCGGACCTGTAAAAATGCGGGGCCACCGGTCACGGAAAAAGAACCATACGCGCGCGAACAGCAGCAAAAGCCCACGGGCTTCCCGAGGTGTATGTATTTTCTCCAGCAGAAAAGCAATGGACGGGGGAGATGCAAGAACCATACGCCATAAAACTGGTCGTTAGACTTTTCCGTGAGATGATTATTCATAGTTACGAATGCATCATCAATCAATACTGGGAAGATATTTTGTTGTAGGAATATATATCGATGGAAGGATTTCTTTTATTTCTTCTTTCCCCCCTCCATTGATTTGGTAACCATACTTGACGCATAACGGATTTCAACCTCTCAGAACCACTGCCCTTCAGTGGTCTTGGGACTACACACTCCACCATCCCCAGCTGACTGGGGATGATGGGGTTACCTTCCAAATATGCCTGGAGGGCAGCGAGTTGGGAAAAAGCTTTAAACTACGCAAGAACAGCACAGGAATCCTCCCGACAGCCAAAGGCTGAGATGCCAGACTCGAGTGCAGAGCAATCCTCTGAAGCTACCCCGAAAAGTCCAGAGAATATACGCCCAATCCATCCAGGAACCGCATCCCTCTGGAGTTCTCTGACTTGGTATTTGCTGACTTCTTAGGCTGCCTTTGAAGGTGGATTCCAGCACGTGTCTTCATCACTCCATCCTTCTTCGCCTCCTTCCACCACATGGCTCTTCCCGCTGCACGTGAGAACCACCCCCCTGAAAAGTGTTGTTTTTGGCCAGTGTTACCACTGACTCAGTTTTTCGTATCACCGATGTCTGTTTCACAAATGCAATCAATTGTGTGATGGCCACATCTACGCAATGTAGTGGTGAACTCCTTTTGATAACATTTGGACTGGCGTGAATCTGTGGGCGTGAATTCCTGTTTACAGACTTCTAACTTCCACTGTTTATTAAACTAAGTATTTCCTAAGTTTATAAAGGAGCTTGGTTAAAGCTAAGTTTATAAAGGATCTTCCTGGACTGGGAATGGTGGGCTTGAGTCAATGGCAATGAAGCTCAGGGGGACCTTTGTGTCAGTCACAGACTCTCGGTCTAACCTGCCTCACAGGATTGTTGTGGTCAGGATAAAATGGAAATACGTGAGGATTATGTTTTTCTTTGCAGAAAGAAATGCAGAAGAGAAATATAATTATCATCATCCAAATTAATCCAATTTTAATGGTTTTTCAGTGGGAGACACTGTAGCATGGGCAAACATTGTTAGCCTTGAAATAAATTAGATAAATAATCCGTGCTCGACTTGGGTCGTAGGGTACCCAGTACGAACAAGGAGAATAGCATCGCAAACCTTTGCATATCTTCCTATGCACCACTGGCCAGATGAACTCAGTGGGACTTATTTTGGAGTTGTGATATCTCGGATTGTGCTCTAAGTCTTGCTCATGCCTTTGGACATACACCGATTCCAGGATTTATTACGCATATGTGTAAAGCTGTTACAGACTGTGATGTAGCATATGATTTTATGTGATTTTGTGTCTGTTTCTTTATACGATTTTATGCCTGCTTTTCTGCTCCTTGGCCTTGCAGCTCACCCAGGGCAGTGGTTGGACTGCTGGACTGGAGACCTAAGAAATCTGACTTCTAGTCCCCAGATCAGCCATGAAACTAATTGGGTGACTTTTGGGCCAGGCACTGATGCTCATTCCAACCTACCTTGCAGAGCTGTAAAATGAAGGACTGTGTGCACCACACCAGCTTCCTCGCAAAGGAGAGCAAAAGAAAGCATATTGGACCAATTGCGTTGCAAATGTCCCTCTTCCCTACCGAGATGCAGCTGTTTCGTGGTCTTTGTGCCATGAGTTCCGGGCTATGCCAGAATGTTCCATGGCACCTTGAAGAGGGTGCAAGTGACTCACCAGGCTGCTGTTCCCCTGAAAATGTGGCCAGCCCTGCCCTGGGAGAAGAGGAGGGATGGATGTTGGCTGCGATCTCGTTTACATCAGCAGAAGGGAAGTCTCAGGACTGCCGGGCTGAGACCCAGTCGAGACCCAATTCTGGCATGGTTTGAACAGGTACAGCAGACCCTGTGAACGATACGTGCACAAGTACACGTGCCTTCCATTTTCCACACAAGTGTACACAAGTCTGTGGTGTCCAACCCATCTCACCTGATCTCCTGTTGCAGGTAAACTGGTTTCACTGGGTCCAGGCTGTCCATGGAACTCAGGCTTTCCCCTTTAGACTCTGTCCTTTCCATGGCGGGTGGAGGGGGGAATGTCCGAAGATGCAACCTGGGTAAACCAAATGCAAGTCACCTGGGTGCACTGGACACCCCGCAATGGAATCAGGTGAGGCGGAAACGCTCCAGCTGTGCTCAGTCCTCAGACTTCTTTATAAAATGCCTCTCCTTCATGCGCAAAGTGAATGTATCCGCTTCTCTATCTGTAATTCGAAAAGGAGGCCAGGAGGGACTGCTCTCCTCGCTGGAGATTTCTGCGGATCTCTAATCCGTAACCCCCAAGTAAATCGATTAAAGTTTTCTCGCTCGCTCCCTCCCTCCCTCGCACATCCAAGGGTCTTCAAGGGAGCCTGTTTAGGCTTCGAGGGTGGGACTCATGTTTGACTTCTCTGGAAGAGAAGTGGGCAGATAAGGGAATTCGTTACTTGGGGGTGCTTGGTCCCCAGGAAATCTCCGAGATGCTCGAATAGCAGGCAGAAAAGGGAGCAGCGGGGGCGTGCTGGACCCTATGGGTGGGGAGTGCGAGGGCGCCCTCTGTAGGAGGATGCGCGTATCCCACTTTTTCAACTGCAGCTCCCCTGGCTCGCATCGCAACGTCTGATCCGGGCCAAGTTGCTTCGAAACCGTCCAAGCGGTGCAGCCCGCCAGGCGGCCCCTCTGGTCACGTGCAGCGCGCTTCTGCTCCCGTTTCCCACGGTCGGGTTCCGCGGCCTCGCCACGTGTTCGAAATCCCTAGACGCTCTTCACACGTTGTGGTGTGAACGCCTGTCGGGGAGGTGCTGGCGGCCGACCCCGCTGCCCACGAGTGCATATAGTGGCACATTCACACGCTGGGGATTTGGCTGCGCATCGCAAGAGAGCACGTGTGATTTGGGGTGCAATCCTATGCATGCTTAGACAGAAAAAAGGCCCTTGCTGGCTGGGGAATGCTGGGCGTCGTAGGACTTCTGTCTGCACGTCCATAGGATCGCGCGCTTCGTTTTGCTGCACTGGAAAGAGACGAGAGGATCGGACAGATCCGCAGGTTTAATGGCCCCGGTTTCCACCCCACCCCCTCTCAAACCGTCATTTTCTTCTCTAATTAAAATGCAAATTAGTCACTTTAACATGCAAACTGCCTCCCGCCCCTTCGAAAATCCGTCGTCGCAAAGGCAGGACTCGCCCGCGGAAACTTCCCGCCCGCGACCCTTCTCCCTCTCGGTCGCCCGCCGAGTCTTAGGCGGCGGGCCGCTGAAATTGGCAAGGAAAGGATCCGGGCGAGACGCTGGTGCGGGAAGAGCGGGGGGCGGGCTGCGCCTCCGGTTGCAGGGCGGTCTGGGGACGGGAAGGGGGCGGCTTTTCCCTCCCCGCGCGGTATGCGAAGCCGGTCGGCCCAGCGGAGAATGCGGTTGCCCCGGGGCGCAGCCAAGGCGCCGGGCATCTCGCTCGGGGGACACGATCCGGCGGACAGCCCGCGCCACCTTTGTGCCAAAGGGTTGCTGATGGACTGGGGCCCCGCAGCACCCACCTCAGGAACTCCTCGCCTCGTCTCTTGCGGTTCGAATCATTAACTGTATTAATGACGGTTAAAAAGCTGGGCTTCGCCCCGCAGGAGCGGGAGAACGGAACCGCTCCCCAGAGGCCCGGTTCGGAGTTTGCGCGGAGCCCCTGGCCGTTCCTTTCGCGGGAGCCGCGCCCCGCTTTCTCCCCACCCCGCAGCCGCCCCGACGTGCCAGCTCTGCCCAAATGCGGCCTCTCCGACGCGCTCGCCTCCCGAGAAGCCTCCCAGGGCGATGGAATCGGAAGAGTCCATCAGTGGAGAGGGCATCGTTCCCACCGACGGCGGAATAGCAGTAGCAATAACAATAATGGCGCCCGCTGTCGGAGTAGCCCTTGTCCCCCGGGACGGGTGGGCCCAGGAAAAGTTTGGATAAAATAATCTTAGGGCTGAAGCGCAAGGACAGGCGGGGGGGGGGGGCACCAGCCTTCGCAGGCAGTGGGCCGTCAGCCTCGTGTGTGTGTGTGTGTGTGTGGACGCGCGCGCGCGCGCAGGGGTCGTGATCCTAGCGCCCCTTTCCTGCGCGTAACGCCTTCGCCCTGCGCTGAACGGGCGTCCTTCGAGCCAGTAAACGCGCTTCTGCTCCCGCCCCGGAGCTGCCCCTGCTGCGCGGAAGCGGCCGCGGAGTCTCCCGGCCCGGCGCCCGAGCCTGCGCGCTCCCGCCGGGCTCAGGTCCGCGCGGGCGGCCGGCCGACTCGCGCCGCAGCCGCAGCCGGGCCCCCGCGGCGGGGCGC